TCCACATGGGGCTCTTGCAGACGGACACGACGGAGAGGTTCTGTACTCGGGTAAGCCACACCACGCACACCTCCGTCAGTGACACCCACTGGGCACTCGTCAAGTAATAGTCCCTAGGAAGAAATGTCATCATGTGATCTCAGACATTAAACCCTTAAATATCTGAAGTTTCAAATTTTATACCGGGGTTATAACTCCACTACCAAACTGGTCAAACTTATTCCTTCCACTTACCCTTGTTCCAGTATAACTTTAGGTGGCGTGAGATGCCTCGTGCGGATGTGTTTGGGGTCCGCGATGTCAGCCACCGTCAGCTTCACTGTGGGGTTGTTAGTTCCCGGTTTTGGATACCTCACGCTTCTTATCTCCGGGTATGTCTAGTGATGGACATTAACATTACCCTAATATTAGATTACCCTAGATTAAGATTAAAATGAAGTTTTCTAGTTATGATTGAGTGTAATTAAGTACATGTTTTTCGTCTACTATTCTGTAGAACTCCGTATTCTGTTTTAGGATTCATTAAAAACTGGCGCTTCAGTACACAACAGAATGAAATCCTTTCCTCTTTTGAATAAATAAATTCATTTCTTTGTAATATAAAGAACTATTATAGCCTGCACACCTTTGACTAAACTGTCGCATAACAGTTGTGCGATTGTTGATTGTTTCGCAAGCAACTGTTTAGTTGCACAACTAAAATCTGGGAAAGTAAGACTAAACAGTTATGCCATAGTTCAGTTATAGGTGTGCGATATAATCAACGATCGGAAAGAAAATCTGAAAAGACATTTTTAATTAAAAAAAAAATGCGTTAAAGTGTGTACAAACCTTAGCAGGGTCATCAGTGTCAAGTGCGGGTCCGTACCAGGGGAATCTATGTTCGCGCACCAGACTGTCGTTGAAGGTAGCGTACAGTACCATGTGTCCATCCCCTGACATCCACAGCGCAGTACGAGACTTGAGAATCTCTTCTACAATAAACACTTGTATTTTTATGGCGTCTAGAATAGAGTACCATTAGAAGCACTCTACAAAAATAATGTAACAAGAAGAACAGATTTTAGACAACGCTCTTATTATCGTCTCCCGTAGTCTTCCAAATTTCTAAATCAAGAATTAACAGTAGTAGTGCCCGCTGTAACATCGCTAAGTTCGCTCGGTGTAATACCAAGACCACACGGAAGACAGGCGTGAAGTGGAAGCAATTCCTAGTACAGTCTGAGGAGTGTGAGAAGGTCTAATTTTAGTCCATTCCACCACCCTTTTCTTAAAACGAAAGGAAGGAAAGAAAAATTGGATTTGACGGTGGAGGAGACGCATAGAAAGGGGAAATGTTCTCTTTATGTGCGTCTCCACCTTCGTCAATTAAGGGTAGGCAACGCATCTGCAATTGCGGATATCTATAGGCAGCGGTCGCGTCGCCGTTTTGGCGGATTTATAATATACATATAAATATATATGTTACCTTCATACAACCAATCGGGTACACCATTGTATATAGTGCCGGCTTTCCCCGTGTCTGTGACGCGGTACCCGGTAGAAGACCTCGGAGCTGGTCTGTAGTAGATATCATAGTCCCGGACCGTGATGAGCCCGTGGCCCTTAGGGGTCCACATCGCAAGGAGGAGGTACGGACCCTCAGTAATAACACCTCCTCCTACCTCGTCAGGTAGAGGTGTGAGGGGATAGGATTCTCTGGAATTACATTGTTAGTTAAAATGATGTGAAAAAAAATCATTTTCAACAAATAATTAAAATCTACTAAGTATAGGACAAAAGAATATAGACATACTATGTCGTTGGCAAACCTGAAAGTCATAAATTATCAATGCTTTTATTTTTCTGGCTTAATAAATTGATGTACACCGGTTGTACGCCTAAAATTGTCACGTTTCTGACCCAAGTATACAAGCGAGTGTCGATAGAGCGACAGAGAGACACAATCGCCATAAGCGTTCGGATCGTCAAATTATCACGTAAAACCTTACAGACAGATGGTTGTTATTTACCTTATAGTATTTTGATTAAAAGTGAAATCAATTTTTCTGCAGACGCTTTTATTAAATTAAAAATGTTTCATCAAAAGATTTCAGAATGTATAAAACATATTTAAACTTTTGTTAACTTCAACAAAAGAGTTACGTGCTGTATAGATTCTTTAGTGAAACTTTAGCGAGCATCTTCATTGAAACTTGTATAAGAAGTTCTGCTGAAACTAAATTCAGCGCCGGTTTTGTTTACTTGAACTTAGAGTTGCATTTGAGGAACCATTATGACTTTCCATTTGTTAGGAATGTAAATCTTTTATTTAAATATTCAAATGAAAATTTAACACAATAATGGTTTTTATATACGTGCGCACACACCCACACGCACACACACACACACACACACACATACACACCCACACACACACGCGCACAAAACATTCATCATACATGCGGGAAAGGTAAGGAAAAAAAAGAACTATCTAATTGTTACTTATTATTGTTTTATTCGAAAATGTTATTAATACCTTAAATTTTCTTGTACCTTTTTTAATAGTTTCAAAGTAACTCATTAATTTTAATGCATTTTTTTGTATTCTTTGTGTAGACATTAAAAGAATTATAATAAAGTATTGGGGAAGGAATTGGCTCCTGTGACACAGGGCAACCTACTACAGGAGCCAAGACTTTCATGAAATGTATGCAAAAGAGACAATAAATGAATTATATATCTTAGCCGGACTGTAAATCAGTAAGTCAAATAATTCCAAGTAAGGTTGGCGACAGGCAGGCTGCAAAATAGTGCGAAATCCAAAATTAGGAATTTGATTCCGAAAGAAAAAATGCTGAGGACAAAAAGCTATCGCGCCGACCTTACGGAAGTAGGATAAGGAGAATGATGATAATGTAAACTAGTAAGAATACAAGACGCTTACTAAGTTATTTATGGTCAACTCATTCAGTTATCAGTCAAACGGCCAAACATTGAAACGAATCTTAAATACTTTGTATAGTAAGCGTTGCTTACAATCTTAAAGAGTCATAATTTGTAAGGGTTTTGCATACATTCAAAAAATACATCGAGGAGGCATAGTTGACACTGCACTTGACTTATTTTTTTCACTAACGCTATCTCTTGATAGCCGCAGAAGCACAAGTCAATAATTATATTTAAATTATTTGCTAATAGGGTCATTAATTATTTTGTAATACTGTTTAGTTTATTTTATAACAAAAGATGGAGCATTGCGGATGTCTATGGGTTGCGGTCACTTCGTCATTTCGCGAATTCAGGTGGCCGCTTGCTCGTTTGCCACCTTATAATATAAAAAGAAAAAATTTAAATGTCACTTTAGTATTCAGTTAGTCTACAATTTAGTAATCACCTAGTCTACTAGTTTCTTTGTTTACTTACGTGGTGAGGATATCGTAGACGGTGTACCTCGCGAGGTAGGAGTGTCTGTGCAATTGACGTAGGCTTTGAGCTAGTAATAGAAATCGACGATCAGCGGACAGCGAAAATGACGCTGGTTCTAATACTCTCTGGTAACAAAACAATTTTTATCAGAAGTAATCACCAATATCAAGACTTCTATATAAACTATCGTATGTTTAAAACCTTTATTTTGTATAACAAAACTTTAAAGGTAATTTAACTATAAAATATTTTTTATTTGTTGATAAACACACACAATATACAAATATTGGTAAAACTGCATTGTTTAAATACGTCGTTACATTGCTTGATTCACATTTTGCACTCTTCGCGCCAAAAATCTCGTTTTTTTCGTTATAATTATGTTAATGGCTTTCTTGACGGCCAGTACAATAATAAATATTTACCCACAATATTTTTCCAACTTAAACAATTAATATTTTACAATTAAATACCTTTTGAAACATAACAATATTTAATCTAAATTATGCTCTTTAAAATAGATTGAAAATACAAATAACTTTTGTCAGCGCCATCTGTTATCAATAATAGCTCAACCAATATACGATAGACGACATACATAATCTGTGGTACTTATTTCTAAAATTACTTTACAGAAATAAGTATTTATTATTTTTATTAAAAAAAAAAACACAAAACGATGTGTTTATCAACAAATTGTGGTTACATAGTGTGGCTATATATGAGTCTGAGATATTTCTCGGGAAGAGTGTCTAGCAGCGCGGTACATTCAGAACTGAAAATTTACATTTCTTGGTTCAAACCCAGCACAAGTGAAGGAATACATGGTGGCATACATATATTTGTTAAGAAAATTTATATGTGAAGTAAATTAATTCTTATTAGGCCACCATAATAGACGAGCCTAGTTATAGAAGAAGTAACATAGTGCTATACTTACAAATGTAGTATTTGGCATTAACGTTTTGGAAGTCTGATTAGCTGCAAACATGAGGCTGATGCCGCCCCACGCATCTTTGTACACGTATTCATCCCCTAAAACAAAGATTGATTGATTTCCACGATGGAATAAATCAGTTAAACAAAGGGCGGAAATGACAGGCGAATATATCTTAACACTATTTTTTGTAAAATTTTATAGATTTTGTACGTAATTCAAAACTACTGGGCCGATTTCAAAAATTCCTTCACCATAAATAGTTACTTTGTCAGTCAGTAACATAGGTTATATTTTCTATTTTTTTTTAATTGCACGCGGACGAAGTCGAGAGTAATATGTAGAATATGTACAATATTACAAATGAAAAATTTTAGATGGATGGATGTTTGTAAGAGTTTATAGACTAAACGGCTTCACGCATCTTGATGAAATTTGGTACAGATGTAGAGTATAGTCTGGAAGAACATAGGCTACTCACTTTTGTTTTTTTAATATCACGTGGACGGAGTCGCGGGCGTAAGCTAGTGTTTTATAAAGCCAAATCAATCTGACGGAATTAAAAAATATACGAGTACGTATAAAACTTTTCTATATTACGAAGTATTTGCAACTTTATGTAATGGTATGAAATGAAAAATTCGCAGCGCGACATCTTGCGTTAATAAAAGTAAACGCCTACTCAAATATTCAGAGTAATCAGTGAAAAGAATTTTTACGACTGAACCTGCAATTTGCTTAATATTTTCTACGCCTATTCACAGGATTATTCAAGTTTATTCATAGATATATCTAACTGTACAAAATAAATTATTCATTTCTTACACTTTTTTAGTTACAGACTTTAATAAACAATACATTTAGAGCGGACGCACTTTGACTAAAGCACAAATGTATGCGATTGTCGATTGTTTCGCAATTCAACTGTTTAGTTGCACAACTAAAAATCGAGTAGTACAAACTAAAGTAGACTAAACAGTTGTGCGGTAGTTTGATCAAAAATATGCGCTATTATACTAAGGTTTACCTGATATCCAGGTGCCATTCCATCGAACTGGTACCAGATCATCTGTGAGCAGATCCTGGATGCGGAACCTGCGGCCTTTGACCCTGGGCCCCTCATCAGGCGGCGTCAGCAACACCACCGAGGTAACGATCAGAGCCAGCACGAGT